GGCCATGTGGCAAATGGTGGCCATGGCTTTGGAGAGCAGCAGGCTGGCCCTGGAGACCTCCAGGCTGGGCAGGTGGGGGCTGCAGGATGCCAGGAAGGTCAGTCCCATCTCCACCTCTTCCTGCAGCTCCTCCGCTGGCCAGGGGCTGGCCAAGCTCTGAATGGCTAACATGGCATAGCCAGTGGCTACCAGATCGTCCAGCAGCCCCAGCGCAGGCAGGTCCCGGCCGAGGTTGCTGCCCCACAGCTGGTCTCGCAGCACGGCGGCGAAGCGGGAGGCGATGGCGGCGCGGCGCGGCAGCACAGCGCGGATCAGCCCCAACCCCTCGGCCACGTTGCCCGTGGCCAGCTCGGCCTGGGCACAGGAGAGGAGCCAGTGCAGGCAGAGAGCCGAGAGGGCCAGGTCGGAGCAGAGGCAGCACGTGCAGGCTGCTGGGTGGGTGAGGAAGGCCAGTCTCTTCTTCCTCTGGGGCTTCAGCTCCGGCGAGGCGGTGAGAGCCTCCTTCTTCTCCAGGTTGCTCACCGTGGCCACAAACTCCAGTGCAGGGCCCCTCAGAAAACTCTCTTCTTCTCCAGAGGGCTCAGAGATGGGGTCCTGCGGCTTCTCACTCTCCAGTTTGCATTTCCTGGGCAGGATCTTTCTCTGGTTTTTCTGCTTCTTGCTGGTTTTAAACTCTGTGGGCCGAGGGGAGGGATATATTTTGGCATCGTCCCCGGTCCCCGCAGCAGCCAGCCCCAGGAGGGGCAAGGGGAGCCAGACCCAAGGCTTCTGCTTTCCCCAGTTACACTTTTACCAGCCAGAGGGGTCACTCCACCAGCCAAAATGTGGCTCGGAGTCACCCCCCACCTCTGCATCCACCTGGATGATGGAATCGGCTGCTCCAGCACCATCTACATGAGGCAGATCTTTCACTCCAGCCCAAAAGCAGGTGTGACAGGCCCCATCCTCACACCGCCTGGGTTTGGGGCTCACCTCAGCCCCCCCATTATGCTCCTCCCAGCCCAGAGCGGGGACTCACCGGTGTTGGACTCCAGCAAGAAGAGAGCTTGCTGGAGGTTGAAGTGGCTCAGCTCCAGCTCACTCTGCTGCAGCTCCAGCTGGGCCTTCAGCACCAGGAAGGAGGTACACCTGGAGGGGGGGTGGAAAACAGCCCTCAGAGCCCCAGCCAGCATCGCTCCATCCCCGGGGCCATGAGCTTGTGCTCACATCTGGCCTGGAAGCAGAATTCAGGGGGTAACACACCGAATCCCAGAATTATTCAGGTTGGAAAAGCCCCTCGGGATCATCGAGTCCAACCCTCAGCCCGACTCTACAAAGTTCTCCCCTACCCCACATCCCCCCCAGCTCATCCCAACGGCCCTTAAACCCCCCCAGGGATGGGGACTCCCCCCTCCCTGGGCAGCCTGTTCCACTCTCTGACCACTCTTCCATGAAACATTTTCTCCTCCTGCCCAGCCTGACCCTCCCCTGGGGCAGTTTCCAGCCGTTCCCTCTTGTCCTGTCCCTGATCCCCTGGGAGCAGAGCCCAGCCCCAGCCTCTCCACAACGTCCTGTCAGGAGCTGCAGAGAGGGATGAGGGCTCCCCTCAGCCTCCTCCTCCTCACACTGAACACCCCCAGCTCCTTCCCTGGCTCCTCACAGGATTTATTCTCCAGCCCTTCCCCAGCCTCGTTGCCCTCCTCTGC